TTAACCTATAACCACCAATTTAAACCTTCTGAAAATTAAAATAAATGCAGTCTTAGCATGAATTTTAGTTAGCTTAGATTTGCAAATTCTAGTGGACCTGGCAAACTTTCTTATCTCTTTAATTTTTGTGTCTTCAGGAAGATACTTCAGATAATGAATGTGAAAAGACGATGAGATCAGATATTGCCCCACTTAAGGTTTCATTTCTTTGGCCAGATCATTTTAACCTTTCTTAACTCTAGATGATTTGGAGATTAACCTATAACCACCAATGTGAACCTTCTGAAACTTGAAGTAAATGCAGTCTTAGCATAAAATTTTTGAGTTAGCTTAGATTTGCAAATTGTAGTGGACCTGACAAACTTTCTTATCTCTTTTATTTTTGTGTCTCAGGAAGCTACTCCAGACAATGAATACAAAAAGAGGATGAGATCAGATATTGTCCTGCCTAAGGTTTAATTTCTTTGACCAGATTATTTTAATCTTTCTAACCTCTAGATTTTTTGGAGATTTAACCTATAACCACCAATTTAAACCTTCTGAAACTTGAAATAAATGCAGTCTTAGCATGAATTTTTGAGTTAGCTTAGATTTGCAAAATGTAGTGGACCTGACAATCTTTCCTGTCTCTTTGATGTTTGTGTCTTCAGAAAGCTACTCCAGACAATGAACACGAAAAGAAGATGAGATCATATATTGTCCCACCTAAGAAAATTAGAGTGACATTTGACGATATAGGTGCCTTGGACGAAACCAAAAAACTTCTTCATGAGCTGATTATACTTCCCCTTCAACGACCGGAACTCTTCAAAGGTCTATTAGAACCTTCTCGAGGAATACTACTTTTTGGGCCACCTGGAACTGGGAAGACAATGCTAGCTAAGGCCTTAGCACATGAAGCAGGGGCTACTTTCATCAATGTTTCAATGTCTGCCATTGCGTCAAAGTGGTTTGGACACAGTGAGAGTAATACAAGGGCATTGTTTACACTCGCTGCAAAGGTGGCCCCTACTATCATTTTTATAGATGAAGTTGATTGTATTCTTGGGCAGAAAACTAGAGAAAGAGACACCATAGCGAGTGTAACAAACGAGTTCATGATCCACTGGGATGGACTTCTGACGAAGTCTGAAGACAGAATTCTGGTTCTTGCAGCAACAAATCGACCATTTAACCTTGATGAAGCGATCATTAGAAGGTTTGATCACAGGTTTGTCTAGTTATAGCTCGAGATTTACACTTGGAAAAAGTAAACATAGTGATTTATTTCTATAAGACCTAAATATTATCTTTGATGCTTTGAACAGAATTATGGTTGGTTTACCATCCCAGGAAGGCAGAGAATCGATATTGAGGACACTTTTGTCAAAAGAAAAGACCGAACAACTTGACTTCAAAGAGCTTGCAACGATGACAGTGGGATACAGTGGTAGTGATCTCAAGGTTGGTGACATCTTCTTGGTTTTTATCATAACCTTATATGGATGCTAATTATTGTTTGTATTGTTGGTAGAACCTTTGTGTTGCCGCAGCATATCGCCCTCTCAGGGAGCTGGTCCAGAGAGAGCAGCCTACGAGATTGGTAGGTTTGACTTGTTGTTTCATATGTTTTGGAGCACACTTATTGAACTTGGTGCTTTGTTAGTTTCCAATGCATCAAAATTGCCTAATTTCTTCTACATATGCAAGATAATATAATTAGGGTTATTAACGTTCTCCTCCTCTTGACTGCAAATTCTGTTATCTACAAGTTTTGAGTATAGCTTATCTTGGACCGTATATGTATTCTCTCGAGGAGCAAATCAGGCTGGAAGTCCATTGTTGTTGATATGAGGAGATTAATAAGGATGTATGGAGTCACACTTAAAGACAGTACACATTCTTGAACAATTATGGGTAGCTCCGAGAAAAGATATGCTGGAAAATATCCATATGAGGTGGTTTATGTATGTCCACTGAGACATTTAGATATGCCAGTTGGATGGGATAAAGTGACTAAAATTTGTAATTCAACTTAGTTTAACTGATGATATTGCTTTTAAAAGACCTCTCAATTTTGTATCCTTCTTTGAGTAACATATTTGTTGGCTGAATTGACAATGTTTTGGCTGCTTGTTTCTCATTCCTTTAAGCTCTATGATAATCTTTCTTATGTCATCAGAAGCAGTCGAATAAGCAAGGGAGTGTTGAACCCACTACTGCCTGTCGATCAATAAACATGGAAGACTTGAGGAAAGCAATTAACCAAGTAAGTTTTGACTTGTGCTCCTGAGATTTTTTTTCAATTTTACAAAGGATCTACACTAAAAAAAGTTGTATCACCAGCTTTTAGATGCATTATCAGACTGCTTGCCACTTATTAACTTATTCTAGATGTATAGAAATTAGGTCAAGATTAGATATTGACAGATTAACAGTGAACATGATGAATGCTAATCCTTAAAGAGAGATCAACAAATTCTCTCAATAATTTATGGGTCCAGAGCTTTTTCATGCCTCTACTAATGTTATTCTACTTGAACCGCCCTCGAGCTCTTTCATGATTCTGCATTTGTTTTATGCTTTGTGCAGATGTAAAGAATCTTAGTCTCTTATGACGACCATTCTCATAAACTTTTTTATGTGCATCTGTGTTATCTTTTTAGTGTTGAGTTAGAATTGGTATCATTTATCTCTCTGCCCCTCTCTTTCTACTTTGTTGCAATAGAGTCCCCTCAGAAGACACAAATCATATTTCCTTAATTGCGTGATGCAGGTGGCTAAAAGCTGTGCTACAAAGAGTTATCTAGTGGAACAACTGGAGGAGTGGAATAAATCGTTTGGAGATGGAGGCTCGAGAAAGCAGCAACAATTATCTTATTATATCTGAAGTACACGGACACCAATTTGGGATTTTAACCTTGAAGACTACTACTACACATAGGCTATAGGATATGTAAGGAAAAATTGTATAAAGGATCCCTCAAATTCCATAATTTGTTCAAAAAAGAGCACTTTGTGGATCCTATTAGATTATAGTATCTTTTGAATAGATTTGTAGTGATTTATTTTGGATTTTTCTTTTCCCCAATTTTTTTTTTCTGATTCGATTTCGATATAACCATGCTATTTTAATGAATCATACTTTTACATGTCCAATGATGATAGTGAATGTAGTCGAAAATAGTGCACGAGACACTTCTCAATACGAGATTTGAGGAGAGTTAATATGCATATAATTCTCTCTATATTTAGAAAGTCTAAATTTAAAATCAAAATCGACAACTATTATCATTCTAAAATACATATTTTTCTTTGGAAGATTACCATCCAATTGGATTTTGGGATCTTACAAACTTTAAATGTTTTGGGATCAAATCATAGCTTCAAAATTCAAACCCATTTAAATTAATTCTATATATTTAATAAAAATATAGAATTAATTAAGATTATAATAAAATGATATTTATATAATCAACTTTAACACAAACATAATATTAAATATTATTACTATTTGACATGTCATTACAATTGGATTGTCCTTTGAGTCAAAGCTTGGCACGAACAAAACCTCCGATCTCAACGCCCACGAAGGCCTAAAACATGAGCTCGTGATGATCTTAGATGAACATCTTCTTTCACATACGTGTATCCTACACCGAAGCTGAAGTCACACTCACACCCCACGGATTAGGGCGTCATCCATGGAACAATCATTGGGCACCAAAACGAGTTGCTCCATCCCCTCCTACCTCTCTCCTACCATGCAACTTTTACGTCACTTGCAAGCCACACCCATCTTTCGAGTGTTAGCTCAACCGTCGAAGCAGCTCACCACTCGTTGTCTCACTCTCACCATGCCGATTGCCTCAGCACACATTAGCTCACCAGCCCCATATATTTCTCTCTGCATGGAAGCATGTGCCCTTTCTTTGACTCCCTTCATGTGCCAGGGAGCTCTGCAATGGGCGGCACCTTAAAGGACGGGGGGGGGGGCTCACATGGGGGGGGAGACCTTTCTTTCCGCAACAAGTTCGAGCCACGCCACATGATACCTGTTTCTCTGAACCTTCATCACCTCTTCAAATAATTGCTAAGATAAACAAATAGATGCCATCGAATTCGTTTTTGTTTTGTGCAATGTGGCTTAAGAAACAGTGGCTCGCAAATGGTGAGGCCGATTAGAGTCATGTGGTTTACAGGGTGGGGTGTTCATGGTTTTCGCATGCATAAATGCATTGTGATGCCCATCATGTCGGGGGGAATCATTTTGTGTCCATAAATGTCGGGGAATAAGAGGCTAAATATATGTATATGAAACTTTAGCTTTGCATCCGAAGGTTAATTGATTTATAGAGACGGAGGAAAGTGATTGAGTAATACAAAATGACTTTGGAGTACGGAGGAAATCAACGACGAATGAGCTAATGTTAATGCTCTTTTGAAGGAGAATTTTCTTTAGTGCTCGACACCTTTATTCCTCCACCTTTGAAAAAACAGAAAAGAAAAGAACCCATATCTTGCATTTTAGTGTAAGCAAGACTTTTTGTTTTTTTTGTTTGGTGCTACGTGGAGATGAAGGTGGTTGACTTTGTGAGTTGTCGTAGCTTGATTGAATTTTCTAGAGTCTGCAGCTAGCATCATCCAAAAAAATAATATGTGATATGCTCTTCTTATGGACAACAAATGTTGTTTTTCTTTTTACTGATATTGATTTGTTCCTCGATCGAGTCATGTCAAGCCTAATACTTATGAGATTGCTCCGTAATTGATACCAAGATGCCTCGTTGTTTAAATTAAAGTCGATCGGTTTCGGTCTAGACCCAAAGGTGCAAGAGCGTCCAAAGAACCCACGTGGCAATCCTATGAGGTGTGATGATGGGGGCATCGAGGCATCTAAGGTGGTTGTCGGGTGGAACCCGAGTGGGCGAGGCGGGTTCGAGATTGGGTCTAGGTGGATTCTAACTCCTCGGGAGATTCCTGGACAATGATAAGTGTTAGGGGAGTGTTTCTCGACTCGACACTTTTGACGCTCAAGTTATTTTTTAAAGTAAAATGTAAAATAAAAAAAAATTAATTACTTAGACATCGGGGGGTCAGCTTTTAAACTTATCTAATTAAGAGAATCACTTGTAACTATTTTAACTCTCTCCCTCTAGCGTTTGTTCATGGAGGCGATAGATCTGAACGACCTTTTGTGGACTGTTGTCCATGGAGGTCAATTGGCAGGGAGGTATAGGCTTGAATGATTGTCCGTAGACTGTTGTTCACAAAGGTCGATAAAGTCAACCCGAACGATCTCCCATGAATTGTTGTCCGTGACAAGTTATAACTACCTCCATGTCACTGTCCCACGAGGGATGACTCAGCTCATATCTTTCAAATTAGTATCTACGTAATAACCAAAGATAAGATTGGTTGTTAAAATATTTTCTATTAATTGCATAATCTTCGTCTCAAAATTAATTATCGATCTAAATTATACATATATCTAGCTCAGCTCGATCCCAATCCTAAATCTTAAACATGCATCTCGAGAACAGTGATGGGGATCGTTAGATCTAAATCAAATCTGCGTGCCTTCACCTACAAAATATACTTGGCATTGAATTTAAACTGACCTGATAAATCTACGTAACCATTGTTGGTTTTTGGCACGCTAATATTCGCAAATATTTTGACCCTTATCTCATGAAAATGTTTCATCTTGATCATCTTAACAATTATGCATCTCCTCGTAGATATTAAATCAGGATTATTACAAGATAAATAAACAACATAATATGAATAACATATATGAATTCAGCTGCGAGCTTCACATCAACATCAATCTTCCGTCCTTTTCCTCCCACCTTCAAGTCAACTTGATCTCCAAGTTTGCCATCCTGTCCGTGAACTAACACGCCTGATTAGCTACATGACTCGCCCCGTCGAGCACCTTCCGCAGGTGCCGTGCCGAACAACGATTCGGCCGAATCTGGGGCCCCACTCTACAACTTATCATCAAAGGAGCGGCCGATTCAGCGGATCCACAAATCTCGACCTGCGTGCACTCCCCTCGCTGAAAGTTTGAAATTTCATGCATAAAAGCCCTTTTGTGTTAAGAATTCACACAAAACCCTACATTAACTTTGTAATATCGACCCCTCTGTGTTTCTCGATTTCATGCACAAAAGCCCTTTTTTGTTAATAATTCACAAAAAACACCACATTAAGTAGCCGAAGAAAATTATATAAATATCAATTTAAAAATAAAAAAATAATCGATTCTCTCTCTAGGCTTTGTGGAAAACAAGAAAAAATTATTTTCTTATTTTTGACTCAAATCAAGAAAATTTAAAATTCAATCTACTATGGGGTATGGTATTCAGAAATAACAATATGAAGAAGGGTGTATTTGCTAAAAAACACAAAATATGAACTATAAAGAATGTATAAGTAAATATAAGTGATATTAGGGATTTATCTGTAAATATCCCGAATTTATGATATTATTTTTTGATGACCGGAAGCGCATATATTCTTTTTTTTACGATACCCCCTCAGCTGCTGCCCATTTGCCTCTCTGCTGCTTCCTCCTCTGTCTCGCGCTCTCTCTCTCTCTTTCATTCTTCGAGCCGGTGGCGATAGAAAAGGGGGAATCCAAACCCTAACCCTAGTTCCGGTTTTTGATCTGGTTATTGTTGTTGCTGTGGTACTGGTTGGTGAAGTGTGGTGGTGGTTGATTCGGATCTGTTGCCGTGGCAACGAGAGCAATGGGTGAAAGGTGCGGAGATGGGGACTGAGGAGATCTGGGAGCGGCGATGGGGAAGGCGGGAAAGGATCAGACGGAATCGGCATTGCCGGCGTCGTCGGTCGACCGGGATGCCGGCGATGGCTACGCGAGGTTCCGCTCCGTCGGGCGGATCGTTCGGCCCCGGTGCGTCGCGGCGCTGGTTCTCGGCGCCGCGATGCTGCTTTCAGTCCTCTTCTGGTTGCCTCCCTTCTTGAGGCACCACGGGGCTCGCAGGGGCCACAGGCGAGATCCACGGTTTGCAGGTGAGAATGCGAGCGTGCGCTTTTAGATTGGATCTTTATGGATGTTCTTCGGGTGAACTGTCGGATCTTGGCTTTGGTTCTGCTCTCGATGCGTGTAATGTTTCTTTTTGCTGGTGGGACGAATCCTGATCTTGTTTTCTTGACATAACTAAGCGACAAATGATCATGGTAACGATTCAAATCTTGATCGCAACGGAATTACGTTTGTAGATCCTATGAGTTCTTCGGATGTTGCCTGAAGCTGAATGTGTTGGATGGATGTTCCTGATCTTGAACGAATCATTATTTCGTCTTTTCGTTGCTCAGGCTCGGGTGTCATTATCATTATTTCGTTTCTTGACATAAAAGTTGTTGCAAAACAATGAAAATTTGATTGCAAAGTGAGGCAAGGTTGACTATCTGATTGGATTTGTTGTTGGATCTTTCGAGAAAAAAAAAATGATAATAGCCTGCTATTTGCGTGTGAGTGACAACTGATTGTGAGATTGGGAGCGGAGGGGTTGAGGTTTCTTTAGATTGACAAAACCTTATCTTTAGTTTAACGAATAAACTCTTTGTTCTTATCAAATATGTCCTCTGCACAGAAACAAGCAAGAACCTAAGACTACATTGCTGTTGCATGTCCACCATCTTCTGCTGTCTGTACTTGGTTTCATCATGCACACTCATGTTGGCTGTGGGGTGCTCATCAAATCTGTTGGGAAGAAATAATGATTTTTGGATGTGCTCAGGATGCTTTATGCATGAGCAGTGGTTTATCATTCAAGGTTTTCTGGGTACACATTTATTCATGTCCTTGCTAAGGGAAAGATTGCCAGAGAGAAAAGGATGTGGAATTTATAGAACATGTTGAGAATGGAAGTAGGTCTCATACTTTAATAAGATAGATCCGAGTTCAACTTTCAACACTTACCTATTTTAGGCAAAAATTAGAAACTATTTCCACATGAGGGAACATTGTGTTTCCTTTTTTATCATGACGAATTGGAATGATAATAAACTGCTTGCTGCATTATTAACTAGGCAAGTGCAATATATTCGAAACCTTTACATTTACTATGATATATAATTTTATAGTCAAAGAACTATCATGTGCAAAATGAAAGTTATAGTGATGATGTATGGTATGCAATCCCTTATATATGGCACACACATTATGGCTGTTGTTTGTTGATTTTCCCATGAAAAAAAAACCTACCATCCATTGCTGAACCCTTGCATATAGAGTAGATTTTAAATGTTTTGGTTCTTTATAAAGATCCATATTGGAATGAATTTAAGACATCTGAATAGTGTTAGAAATATATGAAAGGAAAAATGCGATGATGCACCATTAGGAAGTTAAGCCAACTGAAACTCCTCTAATTTAAACTAGGAAGTGCTATATGCTGTAAAGACATACTTGAAGATGTGCTTTACATTAGATATTAGGAAAATGGTAGATAGCTTATTTATAGATGTTGTGTATATGCTGAGCTACACAAAAGACAAGGAATGGCAGACCATAGTGGAGTGAGCTAAACCATCAGAGATAAACACAACATACTAAGTGAGCTGAATTAAGAGGGGAACTTAACTCACCATTTGAATATTAAGCTGTTTGGTAGCAACCTATAGGCTAAGAAGGGCCAATAAAAGATCCAAGAAAATAAAGTTGAGCTTCTAGAAAGCCTTGGGGTTCTCATGGGGAGGTGTAGACTGTTTTAATAATTGTTTCCCTACAAGCCTCCTCGAAAGATGTCCTTTTTCTGAAAGAGTTTATTCCTCTTAGGTTAGGTTATCATCAACTGTGAACAATTATCCAATTGGTGAATTGATTCTTTGATTGGTACCCAATTTTGAAGACCAATTCCTTAAATTTGAATAGTCATATACTTGATTATAGAGACTCCCTTCAGATCCCGAGTGAATTGCTGAAGCTGCAAAGCTTCTTACAACTTATGTCACTTACAAAATCCTACAAAAATTTTACCTAGCAAACCCAATAACAGACTCCAAAATATTTAGGAAAATTAAGGATAAAAATACATTAGAAATGACAAAAAAATATTATCCCACCTCACAAAATCAGAGTTCAAAGGTAAGTGCACCAGTTAGATCTAACTCAGTTGGAACCAGTGGTGTGAAAGACCTAAGAAAATCAGACTAGAAAAAGCAAAGGGATTACTTAGATTAATTATTGATGTTGGTCTCAGCTGAGCCCAATTGCAGGTCTCCATTCACATAGGCATCCCATATAATTGAAATCTGATGTAAATACTTTTGATTGCATGATAGAAGTAGAAAAAATGGTCTTAAGGCTGATTATGGTTTAAAGAAAGGCAAAAGAAAACTTTTTTACTTATACTGTGTCAGAATACCAGTGACCACCACCATAATCATGATTTATGCACTACATTGCAGTGTTGATATCTGAATATCTTAATAACTGATATCACATTTCATGCTGCCATCATAGTCATTTTCTTTGTTTGAACTTTGAACTGACCAAGTTAATTCTTCCAGCTGATATCGTAGCAAGTTTCAAGCTTCAAAAGCCTGTGGCTGAGCTAAATGCCAACATTGTAAAACTTCAACTTGACATCTTTGAAGAAATTGGTGTTCCTAATTCTTCGGTACCTATTCTTTTACCTTTACTTTGTCTTCATCTTTATCGCCAAGGTTTAAATGTTCTTACCTATTTCTTTTACCTTGATTAGGTAGCTATTATTTCTCTGGAACCTCTTGGTGGATCAAACTGGACAAACGTTGTTTTTGGAGTACGGCCTTATCCCAAAAATTCAACCATATCATCAACTGGTCTAAGCATTCTCAGATCATCCTTTATGTCGTTGGTTATACAGCAGTCAACTCTTCACTTGACCAGATCCTTGTTTGGTAATTCATCATTATTTGAGGTGCAAAAGTTCCCTGGAGGAATCACAATTATCCCTCTACAACATGTTTTCCTTCTCCAGAAAGTGCATGTGCTTTTCAGTTTTAAATTAAACTCTCCTATTTACCAAGTCGAAAATAAATTGAGAGAACTGAAAGACCAGATGAAGTTTGGGCTTCTTCTTAATCCCAATGAGGTTTGAATTTTTCCCTTTTTCCACTTCAAGTCTAATAACTAGTTATTTTTTCTTGCATATCAGTTTTGTCCTCTTTTCCTTCTCACTGCATTGTTTGGTATCTTAAATTGATTCCTGAAACTGGCTTCTATTGCGGTAGGCATAATTAGTGGTTATTTTCTGATATTCATTGATCTAATTCCTTGCAATATCTAAGAATCCTTATGGTTACAATTCTGTGAATGAAAACAATTTAGCAGTCTACTGCACTAACTCTTTCTTTCCATTTTCTTTATTCGCTTATTTATTAGTAGATAATCTCATACATGTATAGGGTCTGCAGGGGAGCATGTGTCTGGGTGGTTGTTCCATTACCCTGTTTTAAAAGTTAGGATTGGCTTCTTTATTGGCATTTGGCCCTACATTTGAATTTATCATTCAAGAAACTCTAAGCAGAACTGGCCACATGGAGGGTTTAGGGATTGGCTTTTTTTATTTGTTTGCATATCCTGTTATCTATGTTTTATTCTGTGCTATATGCTATTTTGATTCATAACCTTTTGCATGTGTTATTATTGATTCTTATTATGTATTTTTTTCTATAATTTAATTAGGCAAATATTTTTGCTACTCGATTGTATGTTATCCACCCACCTATCCATGTGCGATTGTGGAAACAGATGGGACCTGCACAGGCCCATTGATGAGCCACTTGGCTGCATTATATAAGTCAGGTGGTTTTAGGAGAGAGAAACTATTCTGACATTTATAGCCTTCACTCTCTGCTTGACCTCATTATTTCTGCTGCATTATGAGGTGATGGCAGTAGCAACTAACAAGTATTATTTTTCTCTATTTGGTCATTTCAAAAAGAACAATGTTTTTAAAAACACTATTTTTGAATTAGTTTTTGTGTAGAAAATTTATTAGAGAAGTTTGAACTGGATGTATCTGTGATCACATTAACGTGATAAGATGTGGGGTCCTTAAATTTTCTCCATGTATTTAGCATTCTACATACTAATTGCTGAATTTCTGGTAACAGAATCTGTATGTTAAATTGACAAATTTGGAGGGGTCAACTATTGCTCCACCAACAATTGTTCACACCTACATTGTGCTTGCTGTGGGGCATCACCAGCCTTCCTTGCCAAGGTTGAAGCAGTTGGCTCAAAACATTCGGAATTCTTCTGAAGCAAACCTTGGTTTAAATCGCACTGTATTTGGTAAAGTAAAGCAGATTCGTCTGTCTTCTTTTCTTCAACATTCTCTTACTAATGGACACAGTAATGGTTCACCAAGTCCAGCTCCAGAACCTCATCCGGTCCATCATGATCATCACCTCCATCACCACCACCACCATCATTCTCATCACCACGGCCCACATGTTGCTCATGCTCCTACAGGAAGCAATTACCAAACTCAAGCTCCTTCTGGTTGTCGATACGGTTTTTCAAGCAAGCCATATACTAAGGATCATTTAGCTCCTGCTTCTGCACCTGTTACTGGTATGAAGCAATCTGCTGCACCAGCACCAGCACCAGCCTCACAGCATTCAACTGCTCTTACAAAAACTCCACTAAGTTCTGCTGCACCTTCGAGTACCACGAAGAACTTACTTGCTCCTCATGGGAACCAAAATCCACCTACTCCAGCTTCTCATATGCCTCCAGTCTCTCCTTCACCTGTAGCACAATCCCCAAGTGAAAGTTCAAGAAATAACAAGTCTCCTGACAAGGCACCACCCAATTTACTGGCATCATATTCATGTGAGTTCATTTTCCAACTCTAATGTTTATAGAGGTCTTTTAATTTGAGCCTTCAAATTAAAGCATTCTTGAACAGAACAATAGTGGGAAATAGAAGATAAAGAAACTGCATTTAAGGCTTGTTGTAGCATCATTTAGAACAATGTCATTATGCATGCCAATATATATTCAGAATACATTCTAGAATTTGAGGATGTTGTACTGTTTGATGTCGTTAGTTTATTTGTCGGATAATATTCTTTAGCATCCGTAACTCGTTATCTTGATCACGTGTGATTCAATAATAATTTTTTTCTCAACATCCATCATCTTTGTTCCATGTTGGTGTCATCATTTGTTATGTTGTTATGTCTCAGTTTATTTTCCTTAGTTATATAAGCATTTATGTTACTTTGTCACAAGTTATGCAACCATAACTTGTGACAAGTTTTCCATATTTAAGCACAATTCTCTTTTATTTGGATAAAGTCTAATTAATTCTAGTATTGAGTTTATTTCCAGTTTAATGTGATTTATGTTAAATTGTATGCTGTATTAGATCTAATTGAGTCGACTTGTCAATTTGATTCGGAAAGCAAATATAACTGTAAGCCTTTTTTTGGAAAATTAATTGTAAATAAATTATGTGGGACCCAGGGATTTCATGGCCACCCTTGATTATTATATAACTTTTGCACTGGTTGGAATGAGAAGAGTAGAACTTCCTGCCTTTATCAAGGTCTATCTTTACATTATCTCTCATCATTGATTTTTGTAGAATCTTAGTCCCCTAATTTTTATTTCCATAATAGGTAATAATATTTGTTGAGGGAGTGTATATCATATTTGCTATTGTTGGTTGTGAATATTATTACAGAAGCATGTATAGCAATACTGTGCATTAAATCTTGTTGTGTTTGAATGTTGAAAGTGGAAGACCTGAAATTCTCTGACACTGTATGGTTATATATATAAAGTTGATTTTTGGATATAGATGGCAGCGAGTAACAATGAGCTAAACGGGTCATTATTGTAAGTTGTAATTAATAGATCTAAGTATGTCTGACTATGAAAATTACTTTTATACATGTGATAGTTGACACCTCTTGATTGTTCTGATAAGAAAATACTAGCATAAACTTAAAACTAGGGAAATGACATGTTGAGCAGACTTATACTATTCTTCCTATTTAAAGGGTCATCAGAATGCTAGTTTAGTAGGTTGAGGCCTTTGTGTCAGAATACTAGTTCAGCATATCCAAATATGATTAGCTTACTGAATCTAGTATTTTATTAAATGCATTGTGGGGCATGGGGGTATATCTTGTTAGTCCTTTTCTGAATAAATAACTGTTTTGCCTTTTATGTTAATACCATTTTTTCATCAGTAAGTGTCGTATTGTTTTGGATAGTGTACTCCATTAAAACTGGTGCATCTGACATGTAAATTTTGGTTGCCTGCCTCTTCACAAGAAACTGATAACATCGATGTATCCATGCAGCTTCCGTTTCAGGGAAGATTTCTCTGAATTGGGTCTGTGCAGTACTCTTTGTATTGGTGGGTTTGTAGCAAAGAAGGGGAGAAAAATATATTTGTTTCTTGGTGTAGATCAGCAAGTTTATAGAAAGCGGGACAAAGTTGTTCCCCCCCCCCTCGTGCCACAAGAGACCAAAGAAAGGCTCGCATCAGATGCAAACGCAAATGGTGCATGCAGGGTGTCAAGTTTAATACATGTACATACGATGGATGAGGTAGGCTGCAATTGTGTTTTTGGGTCAAAGCCACAGAAGTGGCAGGCCATTGTTACATAGTGCTTGGTGATACTTACTGCTCTCCAATAAATAAAGTGAAAGAAAATATATGTTATCCTTGGACACGAGCAACATTTGCTGCCACATAATTTGGAAATATTTTTCTCTTTGCTTCCGTGATGATCTACTTTTGCTTCGCTCAATCTCTGTTATCTCTGTTATATGAATATCCTTTGGTTCAGTTCTCAAATACTTGATTACATATAATAGGTTGGCAAATCTGTTGAGAGAAAAAACCATTTACATGAAAAATACATTCTACACTTGGATGATTTGCACTTCTTGTAAGCAAACTATTTCATGAATATTTGCTCAAAATGGGAATGCAAAAAAAAAAAATATTCATATGCATACAACTCTTGTTTCTATGGTACATGTGCTTTTGTTGGATTAGTGTTCTTCCATCTAAACTATCATACATGTCGATAACCGATGATGAGGACGTAGATTGAAGGGATAAATAAGCTTGACATCTTCTGCATATTGATCCCTTAAAAGTTCAAAAGAAGGATAGTCTAGACGTAATATGCATCTTAATGTCGATCTGTGAAACAGAATAGAAGACAAATCAATATTAAATGATAGTGGATGCAATGATGTAGAAATTGGAATGATATAAGGAATTAGACACACATTCTCAAGACCGTCACGTAAATTATGGGAGCCTCAAATGAAAAGACGAAAGATTCCATACTCACTACTTCTGGCATCATGTCTTGTCGCTGGACCTTCCTAAAAAATATAAACAAATCGTTCTTCCTGCGACAGATGGGTTGTAAAAAATTTTCATTGTTTTTTTTGGGTGAGAGAATCTGACGAGTCACGGATGAATTAAGTTTGCAATTATAAAAATAAAATATTCAATCATATACTATAATAACATCGATTTTATTGATGAAAGATATAACATGTAATAATACATATATAAATGATAAAAAACGAGAGACAAAAGGATAATTTTATCGTCCTCCTCCAGCATCGACACAAATATAGAATGACATTGGAGGAGGAAAGTGGGGCAGCACTGCAGCACCAATGTAGATGCTTCACTGTTCAGTTTTCTCTTTCTCTTTATCATTGATATTTAAATCGACATCGATAAGATCGATCATCATCACAACAGTTACCCACGGTGTCATCATTCGTTATAATCGTTAAAATTATCTTTTTTGTATATCGTTTTCATGTCATTCATATACGTGTTGTCACATGTTACATTTTGTCAATAAATTGAAATAAGGTTAAATATTTTATTTTCATAATTATAAAAATTTTAATATAATTTTTTTTAAATCTAAAAAATGAGATACAAATGACGTTTAATCTGAGATGTCTCCTGGTTATGTTGTCGCTTTCGATGTGATCTAATTAAGACATGTAATCTTTGCTACCGTCTCCATGTAAAAATAAAACACATGCATGGATGCAAGAAGGTAATGGTTATAACGTATTAAGTTTTGATAGGGAATGCATGATTAATTGCCTCACAATAAATCATATTCTTATTTATAAAAGATGTGTTGTTAATATACACCGAAGGTTTAGAGTAGTCTTGGATTATTATTTTTTACTTTTACATAAAATAATTTATTGAAATAATCTATTAATGATTTTACCAACAGAAAGATATTTTAATAATTAATTATAGTGGATTTATTTTATTTGATTATAAATATTGTTATAATTATTGGATATATATATATATATATATATATATATATATATATATATATATATATATATATATATATATATATATATATATATATA